ACCGTGGTCAAAGGTTGACTAACCACATACAACTTTCGGCGCCCTTCCGCTCTTGCCGAGCCTGTAATTTAAAACCTAACTTTTATCGATTTTGTTTCACTCACTGTACCCCGCCCTATGTAATTGTATTGGCCTGATGAGAATTTACCGAAAGGAACGTTCACTCGCCACTCTCTCTTCTGAATATAGTGATGGGGATTTTCACACATGAAATGTCATTGTTCCGTGCTCTTGAAACCGTTTTAGAATCGAGTATGGGAATTACATTTTTGAGGACTCACTTGACCGGACTCGAGTAAGGGCCCGAAACGCCTGTTGTTTCCCCGTGGAGATTTCGTCTTTTTCCGAAACTTTCAAGTTTATCATGCCTAATTTCAATATTTGATTTCGCCCTCGAATTTGTGCTAGATCCCCCAAACTATGCGGAGTGTATAGTTTCATGCATTTGAAAATATGTGTGCTTATTATAGCTCATCCCTTGACAGAGACCAGGCAGAGTCTGAAGCTCCTACTTGCCGAACCAGGTTTTTAGTTGAGCACTTCTTCCTCATCCTGAGTGAGAGGGCAGCATTCGATTAGGGTCAGCGGCATAGAGCTCGGAGGATGGCTGGGGAATTGTGTTCCCGAACAACTTAACCCCCCCCCCCTCTGATGGTCTGAACCATTTCGGCTATGTTACTTCAAGTGGGCATTCCCCTCCAGAATAAGTTGTGAGTACTTCCTTTGGAGGTAATTCTCTACTACTGGTAACCAAAGACCTCACTTCAGTTCGTTTTCTGAAAAAAACAACCTTGATGGTGTTAACCGATACGGAAACTGCTTTAGTTTGTCTTAGATCACTAACTGTAGATGTATTTGAGGACTTGAAGATCAAGGCATTACAACCGTTAGAGGAGACTTGCTAACAGAGGTTGGGGTACGGTTGATCGTAGCCAAGTCTGAAGCAGCTAATCGTAACAAGTCGGATAATGCACCACTCCGACTGAGCGCTGGCATGGCGATTCCATTTACGTGATTAGCGTCTATGAACATGCAAGTTGGAGACTGCCAGACTTGTGGAGAGCCCCTTTTCGAATGTAGTCGATAGCATGGTGGAGTAGATCGTCTTCTGAGCTCCAGATTAAATTTCACCTTATTGCTGTAATCTTTAGCGCTGTCACAAGTAGTCTGCTCCGCCCTGTAGGCGCAAATTATCGTTTTCCACATTCACTTTACTCCGTCAGCCTACAAGACTTTCCAACTCCACCTACGCAGTCCAGGCGAACATTAAGTCTCCCAGTTGTTTGTTAACTGTAGCAGATTTCCTACGCATTCCTCTCGGAGCTGTCACTTTATGTGCATTTTTAATCCGCACAGAATAACTACCTCGGTTTTTCGGATCCTTCCTCGGACGCCGATCACCCGGGTTGGCCACTACGCA